TGTTTGTGAATGGATAACAAGAGCAAAGATGGTTGATAAAAGGGAAAAATCCTTAAAATAATACGAGGAAAAATGTTGAGGATAGCCGTGATCGGCCATGTCCTGATAACACATGGCACATAAATTGTAAACAAAATGCTCCTTAACACCTACATAATATTATCAGAAAGTATAATTTGATTTATAGGAATTCCATATTTTGTTTAGACGGAGGCTATTTATTTTTCTTACCATAATTCACTTACATTTTCCTACATGAAATCACTACATTTTGCATTTAGACTAACATTTTTCTATACAAGATATTATAGATAGCCATGATTTCCCAAGCCGTTGTGGTACATGACATATAGAAGAAAAAAAAAAAAGAAATAAATAAAAGAAAATATTTAAAATAATTATTACTATATATATATATATATATATATATATATATATATATATATATATATATATATATGTATTTATGCATATTATATTTTTTTATAAGAAATTAAAATTAAAAAAAAACCTTTTTGAAATCGTTACAGAAGCTTTCATGTTTCAATAGGAGGATTTTACTTCTTCAGGCGAAGTTACGTAACTGGTTATTAAAATGATTTTTAAGTAAATTTAAAATGAAAGTGTTATTTCTTTTACGAAAGCTAAAGGGAGGGGGCATAAGAAAATAATGAACATGTCATATTTGTCTACAATAACGATACATTTGTCGCTGGCATATTTTCCGCAATCATCAATGATCGCCTGTCTATGTTCCGGTTTATCATCACATGAAAAATAACTCACCTACCTCCACACTCTGAGCTTACTTTTCTATTTAGCGTTGATCTGATATTTAATTGTTTAATCATAACATATCCACAAGTCTTTTTTTAATACTGACCTTATATCATCGTCCTTTAACTTTCAGAAAAAAAAACATTTTGTTCTTAAATTTCTTTAAAATCATTTTAATCACTAATTACTTCCATTACCTGAAGAAGTACGATCATAGTATCGAAACTTGAAAGCTTTTGTGTAGCGATTTCAAAAAGCTTTTATTATAATCTCTTATAATAAAAATATAATAATAATATATTGCTCTGCATGTATTGAGCACTTTTTAAAAAGTAAATGCTACGAACAGTTGATTTTTATTCCATCTATTCTTTCTCACATTTGCATATATATATATATATATATATATATGTGTGTGTGTGTACGTGAGCACGCGCGTGTGTAATAAGACAATTGATCAATGTAGTCACGACTGATTAAGTAAGACACGTCTCAAAAATATCAATGACACAAAATGCAGGGAAGTCGCGACCAAGCACTTATGTCACAACTATTACGCATGTAAGTCATCCCTATACTTTAAAAAAAACTACATCTGATTAAATAAAACACGTCAAAAAAATATCAAGTATTACGATCAAGTGATCTTCAGATTTCGACTCCTCGCGTGGTATGACGTCATAGAACCGTCAGAATAACCGTGACCTTTAGCGTCGCATAGCAATCTTCTATGTCAACATAAGAAAATATTATATTCGATAGTGAATATATTTGTTTAAATATCCGTATAACCGTTCTGAAGATGTCTCATGTATGCCGACAGCTTAGATCAAGGACCAGCTTAATGAAAAATAACCAAATGTTGGACAATTTTTGTCTTTATTTTCACCGGAAATTAAAGCGAACATTGGAACGGCTCGTGATTAGACATAATAGATATTTATTGTCGTTTACATTTAACAATATATATTTAAATAATGATCTGATGCCCTAATACAATATATATATATATATATATATATATATATATATATATATATATATATATCAACTGTATATCAACTTTATCAAAGTGTATAAAAAAATATAAATAAATTTAAATTCTTTTTTTTTCACCCTTGGAAGTGTGGTCTGATGAACCAGGGAAAATAACCCTTAAAGTTGTCTTTTTTCATATATATATATATATATATATATATATATATATATATATATATATATATATATATATATATATATATTTACTTCCCTTTTTTTTCTTTTCCCCATTTCTTCTTTACCTTTTCCCATATCATTTCCGTTGAGTTGACCGATTAAATAGGTCAATGTCTGATCCTTACCTCTTCCTTTCTCAATATTAAGTATTATAAAAGAAATATAAAAATAAATTTTAAAACTCTCTCTCTTCCCTCTCTAAACTAGAATATGTCTCTCATACCATCCCTCACCACCCTCTATGTCAACTTATATAAGCTTAATACTACCCTCAAAAGTGTAAATTTTAATTTCATTTTTCGTTTCACTTTTGAAAGTGAAGTCTGAGGATCCAGAGAAGGATAAAATTCTCTGGTGAAATAAATTATTACAATGGAGCCTTAAAGTGGTCTGTTTTTTTTAAATTATATATATATATATATATATATATATATATATATATATATATATATCCGTAGAATAAAATTCAATAATAATGATGATAATAGAATTAAATAATATCAACAAAGATGACAAGAACTAATAAAATCAATAGAATCAATTTAAATTTATTACAATATTATTTTTCCAGAAAAGTTATTTAGGTCCGATATATTTGCTAAAGCCCGTTTTGAAGATGCTTAATTTTAAAACGTTTTAGAACAAAATTCATTTTCTACTCGTCTCATCTCAATCAGACAATCATTATTTTTAGGAATGGCTTCTTGGTCGAGATAAGAATTTTCTTCTAAATTACAACGGAAAAAATATTTTAAGAGAAAGATTTTATAAATTTAAACTGGAACCAGTACTAGCTGCTCAGTCAATGAATGCAAAACGTTTCTTTGTAAGGAAACGTCTATTATTGCCATCGCCATTAATAAATTTTAGGGACAAATAATGTAATAAATGATGGCTTCAAATCGTGACCCATGTTTAAAGTGTCCATGAACGTTTTTCTTTTCCGCTGTTTAATGCAGATGTCAACACCTAGGACGAAGGAGAGAGAGAATAAATGAGTTTTCTGGGAGTCGAGACTTCCTGTGTGTGCAACTTATCAATATCGCTTCACTAAACAGAAACACGACACATTCATCGTGCGAGTCCCAAGAACATTACACGTCAGAATAAAAAGAATCCCTATCGAGACGGGAACAGCACGCATTAAGGTATTTAAAAAAAAGAAGCAAAATAAATGCCTACTTGAAAATGCCATATTTTATTCTAATAGTTTTCAAAGCTGAAAGGGAATGTTTTGCGATTACAGATGTTGTAGTAAATGGAAGCAGAAAATAAGTCTCCCCGCTTTCATGTGCTTCGATTCTGAGCAATGGTTAACGAGCTCAGGGTTTTGTAAATTGTGAGATGCGGCACATGGAAAACAACAGAGATAAATAAACAAAAATAGATGAGGGAAGAAACTGAATGAGGTTGGTTAAGTTTTGCATTTTGACACATCGGACAACACACACACACACGCACGCGCGCGCACACACATATATATATATAGCTAGCTATATATATATATATATATATATATATATATATATATATAGAGAGAGAGAGAGAGAGAGAGAGAAAAGAGAAAGAGAGAGAAAGAGAAAGAGAGAGAGAGAAATGTGTTTACTAATTCCTCGTAATAAGACAGTGTGTATGTATGGAGAGGGAATATACGTATACACACGCATGCTGACAAGAACACAAGGAAATGGATCTAAGAATACACAGGGGTCATTAAAAGATAAGGGCGCCGATAACTCCTTCATCATTTCTCGGACCAATCTTAATTGTTTTATAACCCTTCACGCAGAACTTTTCACTGCCACTTCAAGAAAGTACTTTGGGTTACTAATACACGAAAAAGAGTATGTCTCATATCGAGAATATGTAACATCGAAAAACATAAGAAAAAAAATAATTACTTTTAATAATATGAGTAAATATCCACGCTTTGCCTGATGAAGGTCGCGAGACCGGAAACGCGTGTAGCAAAATTATGGAAACTAAAGCATAATATTTAAAAGAAATCCACATTACAACCAAAAACGTTTGCGTTTTCTCTCTTCTTTTTAATATATTATATATATATATATATATATATATATATATATATATATATATATGACCTGACGGTTGAATCTAGCATGAAACAGACTGTCGCCTCTCTTCTTTTTAATATAATGGCTTGACGGTTGCATCTAGCATGAAACAGACTGTCGCCTCTAAGCGTTGATTTTCATTTATATATATATGTTCATTTATATATATATATATATATATATATATATATATATATATATATATATATATATAAAAGAAAGAACAGTAAGATATAAAATCCGGTGTTCTTATAGATATTTTTATTTTAAACATATTTTAAATCAATTAATTTATAATATATATATATATATATATATATATATATATATATATATATAGGGGAACATAGTGAGAATCTAACCCATTCATTAATCATAATTGTTCTAGCGAGACAAACTTGCTAATCTTTGCACTACGTCGATGTGCCCAATGATTTCCCTTATGAACTTAATAGTGTCCATAGGCATCGTTTCTAAAAATTACTCGGACTGTTGTTCCCATCTTTCATATCTCGTCTTGTTCTTATTTGGTATAACTTTACGGTCCCATATATTTAGGGCCGAGTGGTTAGAACGTCCGCCTTCTGACCATAAGACCCGAGGTCATCCCAGCGTGGCAGAAAACCATAACACCGGTTGAGTTATATTGGGAACCGTCGGTTGTTGTGCTAGCACGAAGTCACAAGTCATCGTGATCGAGGGTTTGAGCCTGCTAGCCTTGTTAAGACTGCTGATAACACGCTCTCTCCTGGAAACTGTGACTAAGGTTCATTCGGCATAGTTGCAGTATAAACCACTGGGCTATGTGTGTGCTGAACAAACACAAATGTACCTGAGCAGGCGTCTGCATGGGATTAGATAGCCGTCCATAGTAGACTGAGAACCTCAGATTCGAGAGGCGGCGCCAGTTTACATTTTCTTTTTGCTTACATCCAGATAACTTTGAAAACACCATTTCTCGGACGATCATCGAAGTTAAGCAACGTCAAGCCTGGTCAGTACATAGATGGGTGACTGCTTGGGAATATCAGGCGTTGTGTGCGTGGTGTAATAGATAAAGCTTCGGAATTGTTAATTGGAGAGCCGAGTTCTATTTCAAATTTGGTTTCTTATATTCACTTACATACAAATACCTTTGGGAAAGGTATTAATCCATCTCTCCTCCTGACAGCTATGGATTAATTAGTAAGGCTTTTATCACTAAAACATTTTTACACCCACTAAAAAATTCTTACAATGTAAAAACATTTTCAGCTGTTCAGTCGTAGAAAACTTATCAATGTTATTTTGTACTGTTCTGTTATTGCTTCCTCAGTTTCCATTTAGTCGAAGACTGTACTACCAACCGAAACAGTGACTGAACTCACAATTACTATGTCTGAGGAAGTCGATTTCTGCAACGAAACGTGTTACATAGAATTTTTCTCCATTTTATCATTCAATTTATCCACTGGCGATAATAGTTCGTAACTTAAGTAAATTATCAGCGAATTATTTCTTTTTTATATGCGACATGATACTGAAACTTTCTTGAGCCGACACATTTACCATAATCTGGCTAAATGTCCAGATATCATCATTTATGAGAAGGACTAGAGTGTGATTCCTGAGACTTTTGAATTCGTCTTTATTTGCTTTGTATGCTTTTACAATTAAATCTGTGGCGGCACGTGTTTTATAATGGCTAGAGACTCAGAATGAGAAATCAGAGAACCGAGTTCGAATTCCAGTCAGGATCTTATATTCACATACGCTCAAAATATAGTTGGGAAGGGTTTGAAGCTATCTCAGTATATGGCTATAGATCAAATACTATAATTTGTATCAAGAAATTATTAGTACACACACACACACACACACACACACATACATATATATATATATATATTATTTCTTAGGTGAAACCTTGGTAGGTTTGTCTGACTCTCTAGGTTTAACTATATATATATATATATATATATATATATATATATATATATATATATATATATAATGTGTGTGTGTGTGTGTGTGTGTTATGGACACATAGTAAAATGATTAGAATGTTCGTTTTCTGAATAAGTTCTGGATTAAAATCTCACCATGGTCGATTTGTCAGTAAGGTGACTTCGTGATGACATATTTGGATAGTGCTCGGAAACCATGTCACGAATTGACCTAAGCCTTGTAAGTTAAATTGGGTAGACGGAAATCTTTGGGATTCTAGCACGAAGTCACAAGTCATCGTAACCGAGGCTTTGGGCATGCTGGCCTTGTTCACTGTTGGTAGATAACGCGCTCTCCCCCAGAAACTGTCTGCTAATCATAGTGGCAGTATGAATCATAGGGCCTTAAACTCACTCTTAATCTCAAGTGGAACACGTATATAAGATACATTGTTAAAGATGCAGCTAAAATTGTTGTCTCCTTGTACCGCTCATGCTATACTCTACCTTTACAAGGACCAGATCGAGACAAAAAAAAGGCGTACTGTTGTCATATTTGGTCGGGAGTTGCCGAGCTATCACTCTCCAGCCTTGATTGAATTCAAAAGCGTACCGAGCTCTTCTGAGTGACGAATAATTCGCCACGTTTCAACTTCTCTCCCACAGTCGAGAGGTGGAAAGACCTCTCACTGCTCTACCGCTACTTCCACGGAAAGTGCTCGGAGGAACTCCATTCCCTGGTCCAGCCAAGGCAGATCATTAGGGCAAGAATACGCCATGCCATACATAGTAGCAAACCACCTGCTTCACCCCCGTATTCCATCGGAGGGAAATAAGTTCCATTCGAGCAGCGAACCAATGCCCTGTGGAACCGACTCCCAACAGGATGTTTCCCTGATCACCACAATCTTAGCTTGTTCAAGGCTAGGGTTATCTTCCATCCTTATACACATAAATGGCCTCCTAACGTAACCCGCTGACTCTTGTGGCTCCCGAGCCTTATAAAGGGTAAACCTTACTTTAAAAAAAATGTTGAGCAAGTTTGGTCCGAGTTAGTGAGGTTTCAGCGACACGGACGGATAGACAGAATTTGCCGTTTATTTATTTAAAAGATATTAAGAGACTGAGATAAAGAAAGAGTGAGGGAAAAAAAAAGATTAGAGAACTTTATAGAGAAATGACATCTTCCGGTTTATGGGTGCGCCTTCATTCATTCGACAAGAACATTGAAATCATTTATGTGATAAATACTAATTAAATCAAGTTGTTTTTACGATTACTTCAAACTTGTCCACCTTTAAGATTTCGTGTAAAGGAATATTGTTATTTGTCGCTTGTATGGACATAAGGAAATCGAACATGTTTGGACGTATGTCTAATCAAAACGCCGATGTCAAGTTATGACCAATGCGTATTTTAGAGCCGAGCGCGTATCAAAGTCGCTGAAGCGAAAAGCGTAGGAAGCTGTGGAGAGATGGCAATTGTGGCAAAGCTGAATCGTTCAGACGAAACAAAATCTTGGACCTCATTAATAAAATAATTCGTTTGGATGAAAGCATTAACATCGACAGGCACGATCTGGCATTACAAGAAGAAAAATGGATTCTTAATCAATTAGCCTAAATTTTGTGATTTCCTTTTTTACTGTTAGCTATTCTAGAAGTGAGACAAAAGAACACGTCTATGTGATGGTGCGTCGGCTTGGGGAATGTCAACCCTTGCTTAGTTAATTAACATCGAATAATTATTTTTTATTACACTTGAATCGATAAATAAATTATCGGTCGGGATTTTACTTGAGTCTATAGATTAAATCTGCTCGTGCTTATATTTAAGACTATAGTTGAAGATTGGTCGGGTTATACTTTAATCTATAAGTAAATATTGAGCAGGTTTATACTTGAGTCTAAAGGTAGAATCTGGTCATGTATATACTTGAGTCTATATGTAAACATCAGTTGACTTTATAATTGAGTCTATTAGTAAATGTTGGTCAAATTTATACACGAGTATATAATTAAACGTCGGTCGGATTTATACTTGAGTTTATAAGTAACCATTGACCATGTTTATAATTGAGTCTATAGATAGATTTGCACGTGGTTATATTTAAGACTATAATTAAACATTTATCGTGTTATGCTTTAGTCTATAAGTAAACATTGATTTATACTTGAGTCTAAAGGTGGAATTTGGTCGTATATATACTTGAGTCAATATATAGCCAGCAGTTGACTTTATATTTGAGTCTATGACTAAATATTGGTTGGGTTTATACTTGAGTCTATCATTAAAAATTGGTCGAGGTCATACTTGAGTTTAAAGGTGGAATTTGCTTGTGTACATACTTGAGACAATATATGTAAACAGCGGTCGAGTTTATAGTTGAGTCTACGTGTAAAGTTCGATGGTATTTATCCTTGAGTCTATAAGCAAACATTTCATTTAGAGCAATAGAGTAAGAGGGATATCCAAATCTAATTTAAATGCGAGAATCAAATTAAGAAACAAGACAGGAAATCATACCAAAATAACAGTAAATCTGAATGTGACATAAAAAATTGCAACGAAATTTATAGATATTATTGCCTCATGGTAGGTAAAATAGTAGCGATTATATTTTCAGGTATATTGGTTCATGTTCTATTTTCAGTTAGAAGCAGAATGCTGATTTTCAAAGCAGTCATATATATTTTTTCATGCATATGACTTCAAGCTTTTGTCGTAATATAATCTTCCAATCCGTTCAGATTTGTAGCACTTATTTATTTGTAAAACTTATGTCCTTCTCGAAGTCTGTTTCATTATTTTATATACGTGTGTTTGATTTAGTGTAAAAGGGGCTGGACTGAAACGGAGATAATAAACGAATTTGTTTCTTATGTAGAAATCGATTAAATAGAAATGTAGGCACGAAAGAAAAGCATTTTCTTTTCTGTTTTTGTTATTACTGCTAATATCTTTTTGGGGCATCTCTGAGTAACAACATCTATATGAGGAGATTTAGTTTTTTGAATATTTGTCTCTGTTTGCGTTTTCTTTGAGCATTTACGAAATCGTGTATAAATTCTATTGAAAACAAGTATATGAATGTTTTCCTATCTATCTATCTATCTATCTATCTATCTATCTATCTATCTATCTATGTCTGTTCACATCTCTCTCTCTCTCTATCTATCTATGTCTGTTCATATCTATATAGTTCTACTCATTATCTATCTATCTATCTATCTATCTATCTATCTATCTATCTATCTATCTATCTATGTTCATATCTATCTCCGTTTATATCTATCTATATAGTTTTGCTCATTATCTATCTATCTATCTATCTATCTATCTATCTATCTATCTATCTATCTATCTATCTATGTCTGTTCACATCTCTCTCTCTCTATCTATCTATCTATCTATCTCAATCTGTTCATATGTGAAAAACACATGAGAATATACGTTTATTTTTGTTTTCCTTACAGTCTCTATATATTAAGTGGATTTATTGCGTATTTAAATTTGTAAATTATCAAAGTATATCGGCGTGAACGGTATGTGCTTGCTTATGTGCACGTGTGTGTATGATCACGCGCGCGGACGGGCGTGTGTTTATACCTTTTTGTTAGTTTTCTTCTTGTTTTCTGCAATCTCAAGTGGAAGAGAAAAATCAAATTCCTCTCATTTATTGCCAAATAATTACAGACAATTTCCAAGCAAAATATGTGCAAATTAGTCGACGCTTTACGAAAAGATGTAATTTAGCAATTAGAAACAACCTCTTCTTTCTTCCGCGTGCTAATCGCTCGAGCAGAGTGCGACTGGGGTTTAAATATACCTTACTGGATTACAACACGTCGTTATTGTAATCTCTTTCGTAGTGTTCCATCAAGACTTTGACAGAAAACAAACTAGAATTTTGTTTAAAATTAATTAAAAACAAAACTTAAATCGAATTGGCCACGCGTACTTATTGATTAAATATATACCGCTTTCTACAAATTGGATTAAAAAAAAATCTATTCGAACATAAAAGCATATATATTAATAATAAATAAAGGAAAAACAATAATCTTTATCAGTGTTTCTCAAACGTGGTCCATATGGACCCTGGAGGCTCATGT